AGCACACTTTCCCGCCTCCCTTGCCATGTTCTTGCACTCCAGCCATTCCTTTCTGATCGTTGCTGTTCAGAAAGACCCTGGAGGTTCCTTCTCTCACCTGTCACTTTACTAGCAGGCAAAGTGGGGGCCAGAGAGGGGCTGAGTGACGCCACCCTCCCTCCGTCGCAGTCAGAGATTGGCCCCCACAGGTGCGTTCTTAGAGCACAGCAGGTGCCAAGCACGGGGCTGGGTGCTGGGTGCTGGGGCTGAGGCCCTGTCTTTCCCTCCAGAGGCCTCCTGCTTGGTAGCGAAGGCAAGACACAGCTTGGTGCTTCCCAAAACGTTTAGGCCCAACTCCATGTGGAGGGGAGCTCGCCATGAGCTGTGTGGAGGCCGGGAGTTCTCAGGGAGGGGGTTTCTGTCCTTCCCTGAGAGGGTGGAGGGGCAGTGACAGAGCCCAGATGCCAAATCTCTCTGGGCTGTGGGCACTGGGAGGAAGGGCCTGCGGGTGGCTTTCGGGTCCAGGACGGACCCTTTGCTAGGGTGGCTTGTTTCAAAGTATGGTTCAAGGCCCCCCTGCTTCAAAGTCCATGGAGATATTAGCAAGTCCAGACCCCAAATTGGAGTCCCCAGAGCGGGGCCCTGGTATTTGCCAGGTGACCAGGCTCCAGGTGATTCTGATGCACAACAAGATTTTGGTCTTTCCCCGACAGACCACACGGGCCCCTGCAGTGTGAATACTCGAGAAACCCGCAGGGAAGAGGAGGAGAATGGCCTGATGGGCACAAGTCAGCACAGTGACCACAGCGATGGGGCTGTGCGGGAGTCCAGCACTCTACAGTTTACAACACCCCACGAGATGCCCCTCCTCGGGCGCTGCTGGTTTCCAGGGGGTGCTCAGGGGCCAGTGCCCGCCACTGCCCGCCCCTGGGGGCAGAGATCAGACAGGCCCAGAGAGGTTGGTGGCGGGTGGTGTGGGACAGGCCTGACTATACCTGAAGGTTGAGCCCTGGAGGGAAGTGTGAGCAGGGCTCTTGCTGTCACCTCCTACAGGCGCGTTGCCTGGGAACATGAGCATTCACACAGGTGGGGGCCTTTTCTCTGGGAATCCCTCTAGCTGCAATGCAAACACAGCACCTCTGACAGTCCCAGGCCCTTGTTCCTGCTTCCATAGACCTTCCTTCTGCTACCTGGGCACCCAGTGTGCCTGGCATCCCATTTACTACACCAGCACCATCTGAGTGAAGCCTCACGATGGTCCTCGACAATAGGAATGCTTGTCCCCATTGTACAAGTGAGGAAACTGAGGCTCAAAGAGCCTCCCTGGTTGATAAGGACACAGTTGGGATTTGAACCCAGAGCTGTGTTTGTTCCACCCTCCTTTGTGCTGTGATGGTTTGGGGGGGCAGGGGTGTCACATTTTTCTAGCCTCCAGAACCCTACAGATCCCACTTTGATGACAGAGTCAAAGAAATACCTGACTCCTTAGGTTTGTTCTGGAAGGGAACCTGGGGGCTTGTGTTTTGGGGGAGCAGGGCCTTAGGTCCCCAGGAAAACCAGAGCGACTCGGAGGAGGGATTGAACATTTCCCACTTTTCGTGGAGGACAGATTAAGCATCTGTAGACACTTAGCTCAGAGACGACCAACAAGGACTAGAATCACACGAACTCCAGAGAATGGAACGTGGGCCCGTCGCTCGGTCTGAGGAAGCGCTTTCTAACCGCCGAGATGGAATGGGCTGCCTTAGGGTGAGCTCCCGGCCCTGTTCACTACCGCGAATACTCACGGTTCGGGGATCCCTGGGCTGAGAGTGATGCATTTGGGGTCTCAAGTCTTAGCAGCTTCTGACTGACTCATGACCCCAAGGTATTCTGGGTGTCCAAGCGCCTTCCCGAATTCTCAAAGCGACACGCAGATCTGCTCTGTGTGCTTTTTTTTAAGAGCCGTTTTAGGTTCACAGCGAAATCAAGAGGGAGAAGGTGCAGAACGTTCCCACGTACCCCTGCGCCCCCAGCGTCCGCCATTGTCAATACCCCCTCCGGAGAGGCACGTCTGTTACAACGGATGAACCTACTGACACGTCACCACCCGCAGCTCATAATTGCGTTCGAGTTCGCGGCTGGTGTCGCTCACGCTGCAGGTTTGGCAGATGCCTGCGGACGTGAATCCGCCATCCCAGCAGCGTGCGCAGGAGTCCCATGCCCTGAAGATCCTCTGTGCTCTGCCCGTACGTCCCTCTCCACCGCCCCCTGGCAAACGCTGATTTCTGTCCCCATAGCTCTGCCTTTTCCAGACCGTCACGTGCAGCTGGAATCACACGGCAGGACGCCTTTTCAGACTGGCTCCTTCACTTAGTAATGTGCTCTGTGTGCCGGGTGCCCGGTGTTCATTTATTCCTTCATTCACTTAACCATTCGTTCTTCCCCAGACACTGCCCGGCGCCCGCTCTGTGCCGGGCACGGTTCTCAGAGCAGAGGAGAAAGTTGTGACTGGATGGACAAGGCCCCTGCTTTCATCCTGAAAACCAGAGTCCCCTGGTGCTATGGTCTGAATGTCTGTGTCCCTCCAAAATGCATAAGCTGAGACTTAATCCCCAGCGTGGGGGTATTAGGAGGTGAGACCTTTGGGAGGTGATTAGGCCATGCCCCCACTGCAAGCAATGGGACTGGTGCCCTTTAAAAGAGGTTTCATTGGGCTGGGCGCGGTGGCTCACGCCTGTAATCCTAGCACTCTGGGAGGCCGAGGCGGGTGGATTGTTTGAGCTCAGGAGTTCGAGACCAGCCTGAGCAAGAGTGAGACCCCCGTCTCTACTAAAAAAAATAGAAAGACATGGTCTGGACAACTAAAAATATATAGAAAAAATTAGCCAGGCACGGTGGTGCATGCCTGTAGTCCCAGCTACTCGGGAGGCTGCGGCAGGAGGATGGGAGAGTTTGAGGTTGCTGTGAGCAAGGCTAACTCCATGGCACTCACTCTAGCCCGGGCAACAGAGTGAGACTCTGTTTAAAAAAAAATAATAAATAAAAAAAAAAATAAAAGAGGTTTGATTGTTTAAGATGTGTACATAGAAACAAAAATAAAATAAAAGCAGCTTGAGGGACCTTGTTTGCCCTTCTGCCACAGGAGGACACACCGAAGGCGCCATCTATGAGGAATGGGCTCACCAGACACCCAGTCTGGCCGTGCCTTGATCTCGGACTTCCCAGACTCCACGACTGTGAGAAATAAGGGTCTGTTGTTTGTAAATCGCCCCGTCTACGGTCATTTCTCATAGCAGCCCGAATAAGACACCTGCAAGTCTACAGGGCTCCTCCTCGCCCCCTGCAGCTGGGCCCCTCCCTGACCGCAGGAGCTCACCTGAGGGGCAGCCCTAAGTTACTCTCAGACACCCGCGGAACTTTCCGCTGAGCAGCCGCAGTGTTAGCGGAGACCACACGGCACAGCTGTGTCCATTGCTGGGTGCCACTGGCCAGCGCAGGCCGAATTTGGTCTAAGCCAACGTCCTCAGACTCACTGGAGGCGCAATCGTCCAGACCTCCCGTTTCCAAGGGAGAGCCTACGTCCCAGGGAGGTCGCGGCTTTTTCCTGGACCCCGAGCAAAGGGCTGCGCTGAGGTTATGTCCTCGCACGGACACTCAGCTTCCTCGTGTGCACAGTGCGGGGCTCGGAGCGCATGATTGTGCGGTTTTTCCAAGTTCAGGGCAGAGCTGGGATGAGACCCTGGGGTCCTGGCTGTGGGGCCAGCACACGTGTCTTCTCATTTTCAATGTTTTCCCAAACCCCTTCTCCTGCCTGTCCTACCCCAACCAGGAGGAAGACAGAACAAACTCTCCAAGATCATGGGGCTCACTACTGTGGAATGTCCCCGTCACCCTTGCTGCTGCCAGGGCCAGAAGGACACAGCACGGTTTTTCTCCAAAGGAGCTGGGTCACAGGACGTCAGCAATGACCTTTGGGGTCACTCACCCTGTCTCCGGCCACCCAAATCCTTCTCCCACTCACAGAAAGCATAAAAGGTGGGGTTGGCCCAGGACTTCCGATCGCCCCACACCTGGGCCAGAGCTCCCACTTCCTGTGGGCTGCGGGAGCTGCAGGCAGCCTGTGACTCAGTGAGGCGCATTCTGACCTGCCCGGAGAGCGACGCCCGCTGCCCACCCCGCCCAGGCTGCGAAAGCGCCTGCTCTCGGCAACTCCAGTGATGGCCACCGTTTATCCAGTAGCTACGACACATGTGGCGCTTCACGGCCAGGAGCCTGTTTCTAGCTTTGCATAAGGAACTGCCAGGTCTTCCTATGGCTCAGGAGACCTGGACAAAATCACTTGCCCAGCAATGTCCCCCACAGGGTGAGAGCAGAGCTGGGACCCCAACCCAGGGCTGGGTGCAAAGCCCATGCTCTATCCCACCCCTCTGCCCGGGCAGCCAGGACCACAACGGGAGGGACGAAAAGCCTGAAACACAGTCACCACCACCAACCACCTCGGTGCACCTCAGCCAGTATTCACAAACCCTCTCCCGTCTGCTGTCTGATTTAACCTCTGCCCTCCCCAGGGAGCAGGGTACTTTGCGGACAGAGAACCTGAAGCTCAGAGAGGTTGAATAGCTTGTTCGGGTCACACAGAACCAGTGAGTGGCACAGCTGTGAGTGACAAGCCAGCTTTTGGAGTCCCCACCCCACACCCAACCCCGCTACATCGAGCGCCCTCCTCGCTGTTTCAGTCCAAAGCGTCCACCCAGAGTCTACGGAGATCAAACCACGACATCCCTCATACACTTAACACCTCGCTTCAGGGACAGGACAAACCCACAACCAACAGCGCAATTCCTCCTGCCGGGAACCCCTCTCCCCAGATCCCTGGCCAGACCTGGGGAAGGAAGGAACTTTTCCCAACGCCCCAGGACCAGAGGAAACTCCTCCCCACGCCTGGGAGTCAGCCCCCGCTGCCACCCTCCCTCCGAGCCAGACAGCGTGTCCTCCCTGCAAAGGTGAGGTGGCTGTACCAGCCCCTGCCTGGCACCCACCTTGTCTGGAGCAAGCTGCGTGGGCACTGTGGTGGTTCCCTCGGTCGAGCGGGGCTGCCTGGCGTCCCCAGCCCTCCACAGAGCGAGGAGCCCGAGCTGGAGTGGCAGCGGGAACAGCTCATCTTTCAAGGGCTGGGTGGTGATGTCACCACCCTCTTGGGCACTTCCTCCCTCCACCTCCTGCTGAGCTGCACGCTCTGTCAGGAGCTTGAGTTGGGCGGGCTGCAGAGGCCAGGCAGGATGGCCGCAGCTGCCCCCCGGCTCCCGCTCCCAGCCCCTCCTGCCCTCTGAGCCCTGGGGCTCCCCGAGCCTCTCCGCGTTCACCCCAGGAATGCTCTGCTGTGTAGACAGGCAGCCCATTAGAGCCCTGGGGCGGCAATCGCCTCCCAGCGGACCACAGAGTGGCCTGAGAAACTCCACGTGAACAAATCCGCCTGACGTTACCTTTACTGCTGACCATTTCTTATTTTCCTGAGGTGACGGTTCTGTGTCTGAGTTCTAGGTGTGAACAGTGGGCATTTACACACAGTGTGTAAACAGAAGGTGGCCAGGTGGGCAGGGGGAGTTCTGAAATTCCTCTGTATGCCATGCATGCCGCCCACAGGTGACAGCGGCAGAACCCGGGGGTCATCGTCCAAGAACAGCCACCTTTCCGCCCCCTGTTTTCCGGGGCAGTTGAGTGCATGCCCCCGAGACATGGCCGTTTCCTTGGAGATGTTGTAAAGCAGTTTCCTCCAGTCCAGTTCGGCTCTACGACTTACAAACAATCCTCACCCTTAACACTCCCAGAACCAGAGGGAGGAGCTGGAAAGTGCTGGGACTTTCAGAACTTTTTAAAAAGTTTTAAAACCCTTCCTTCCAAAGAGACCAGATGAGAGTGGGCCCGGCGAGCTGGGGAGTAGATAGGGGTGTCACAGCCCCTCCCCTGCAACTTCTATGAGTCAGCAAACCAGTGATGGCGTCCAGTCCCATCGTCACAGAGATGGGGAAACCGAGTCCCAGAAAGGCTTATGGGGTGGCCCTGGCCCCAGCCCTGGCCTGGCTGTGAACTGGCTGTACGCTCTTGAGCGAAGTCCCTCCCGACCTGCTGTGTCAGTTGACTCATCTGTGCACCAGCCTGTTCGACCACTTTGGGGCTCCTTGCCCTGGCCTTACTGGACCGCCCAGTGAGGATGGAGATCTGTGGTTAGGCTTCCCGGAGCCCGCGAGCCCTCTAAAATGGTGTGTGTGTGCTTTTCCCTGGGTCCCCATCAAGTTATTGAAGGGGTCTACGATCTAAAACATGCGGAGACCAACAAGAAGAGACAGAGTCCTTCTGATGCCTCTTCCAGCGTGGACATCATAGGGTTCTGCATCTAAGAGTTGAAAATCCTCAAAGATCTGAATCCAGTGTCGATGCTTCTGGAAATACCATCAACTGAGAAAGTTCCAAAAGACATCTGCCCGTGTATACATGTCTCCATCCATCACTGTCATTTATTACTAGTTTTTGAAAAAATGCCGTCTTGATCAAGTCTTGAGGTCCTTGCTAGAGCAGGTGATTAAGTCCACACTCCAGCCACTTTGCTTACTGCCTCTCACGCTCTGGGCCACTCTGCATCTGCCCTAATCACCTTGGAGCCTGGTATCAAACAACAATGGACAGCCCCTATAACCTGGGAATCACAAAATTATTCAAATTAGCCAATCCACAGGGAGCCCAGGAAACCTCGCTAACCCCACTCATGTGCCACATAAGCTGCTGCCTGTAGTTCCAGCTTGCTGGGACCCTGCCCCACGTGGCCCTGCCTGGCAGCCTCTCATCTGGAGCTGTAAGAAACAAAAAGTTCTACCCTTTCTCTATTCACGTGTCACTGCATTGTGCCCTGCCATCAAAAGAATCTTTAACTCTTGCAAGACAAATACCCACTCTTCCGTTCATCTAACTTGCATCTACCCACCCATCTACCCACACGTCCCTCCACCTACTCATCCGTCCATCCATCTATCCATCTACCTGCCCATCCACCCACCCACCCGCTCATGTATCGGATACCCACACAGCCATGCAGTGCGTTGTCAGGTAAGCGAATGAATCAGACAAACCCATCCCTGGGGGAGTCTGTACTGAGGCCAGTCCCCTGCCAGTGGGCAGAGCCAGGCTGGGGGATCATTTCCAAGTGCTCCTTGTGGACTCAGTAGCAGCCCACAGTAGTTTACATCTGGGTGAGCACAGCTCGTGTCCTTCAGTATTGCACTGAGAAAGTTTGGCTAAGCCCTTCCTGCCCAGTCCCTGCAGCTGCGGCCAGACCACACCCCCTCACCACTCGGTGGGCTTGGCTGAGGTCTGCAGGGGGTGTCTCAGCCCTGCCAGGGCTCGGAGTTCTAGCCAGCCCAGCTGCACTCAGGGAAGACTAAAGAGGGAACCAGTTATTCCTGCAAAACACTGATGGCCTCCCCACTAAGCAGGGCCCCTTCATGTGGCATGGTAAGAATCTGCCGGTACAGCCTGCCCAGCCACGCCAGCCCTCTGTACCTTAGCCCCACGGAGCCCCTTCAGGCTCCCGAAAGTAACAGGATAGCACTTGATGCTGGGCCTTTGCACATGCCGTAGTCTCTGCCTAAAACACCCTTCCTATGCCTTTGCTTGGTCACACCCACTGTCCTCTTAGGAGGCTGCCTGGGGGCCTTCCCTGAGGCCTTGGTTAGGGACCGTGTCCTGTCTGCACTCGTCAGCCTGCCTGTTTCCTCCCACAGCCGGGGACTGTTCTTGGTGCACTGAGAACACCGCGAGGCAGGTGTCTTCCTTATGGTGATTTCTCACCTGGCACACAGTGGGCGGAATGAAGGCACAGCCCAGTCTATGGGGAAAAGCCCCCGGGTCCATCCTCACTGGGGTGAAGCAAAGGCCAAACAAAACAGAAAAGCACAAAAGCAGACTATAGACACGTAGACACACATGTTTGTTTATGAATGTCCGCCCTGCACCCCAGTGTTCTGGAACATTCTCTCCACATGTCTGTGTGTGAGCCAGAGGTCTGTCCTCCCAGGAAGGCCATTATCCGTTGGCCTCAGGGAGTGGGCTGTGCTTTTGTCCAGAACTGCACAGTACTGAGCAGAAAGCCGCTCCCTTGTCCTCTGTCACTCAGCAGCTGCCCTGCAGTGGGCTGACCTGTTACACACGCCTGAGACAGCCCAGCCACAGAAAACTGGAAAGTGGAGTCGGAAGGCGAGTGCGGGTTTTGATTCACGGCAGAACACATGCAAAGTCCGCCTGGTTGGCACTGACGCCCACACTTAGGAACCCCACAGAGCACCTCCAGCCAACGTGCCCGTGACTGCCCTCCCGGCCTGCTTCCTGCCTCTGGCCCCTCCCCAGAGGCCTCCAGCACAGGCCCGAGCCCTCCGGCCCCAGCTCCGGCCCCTCCTGGCTGCCCACTGCCGAGCAGCCTCTGTGCCAGACCCTGTCGCAGCACGTGATCCAGGTTAGTCCATGTTATGCCACTGATACTTCACAACAAGCCGAGGAGGGTATTATAAATCATCATGCCCATTTCACGGATGAGGAAACAGAGGCTTAACTTGGCCTAAATCCTGCAGATTGTAAACAGCAGAGCCAAGATTTGAGCCTAAGTCTCACTGCATAGCGGCACCTCTCTCTTTCCTCTAAAGGAATATGCAGCTTTTTAAAAAAACTGATCATATACATAATATCTATGTCTAGTTTCTCTGTTGATTGAGCTCAATGTGTAAGATAAAATGAAAATCATCTGAAAAGTGCACTGCTTGGAGGCGTTTAAGAATTTGGTGCCATGCTTACATCAGCTGACATTTACCTGTGATACAGTATGCACAATGTCGTAGATGTCCTTGCTTCGACATATCCCGTTCTACACGAACGGGATCATGCCATATATGCTGTTGTTTTAAGCTATGAATTTCTCCCGTTCTGTCACTCTTTTGCTTCCTGTGCTGCCCTCCCTCCCACCACCCTTTCCTGAGCACCTCACCAGGGTGCCCGACAGCCGGGCCAACTCAGAATTTGTGGGGCTGGTACAAAGTGAAAATGTGGGGCCCCTTCTTCAAAGAGTGGGAAAGAAGTACTCATAAAGCCTTTTCCTTTCTTCTGTGTCTCTCTCTCGACTTATCATGGTGGGTTTTTTTATTTGCAACTTAATGTCGTTCTATGCAAAGAAAAATCAAAATGTGATATTCTTAGCCTGCATTATACCATTCATTGGTATATTACTCAATGCGAGTTTTAAATGCAAAGATCAGCGCACTTAACTTGTATGCAAAATCACTGGAATTATGCAACTTGTATTTCATAGCTTGCACGTGGGTGTGTCTCTCGCTCCTAACCAGGTCCATGGAAACCCTGCAGAAAACAAGCTCGCCTTGCTTTTCTTTCCCTTCTTGATGTGTGTGTGCATGTTGCATCAACATGCCTTGCCTTCTGTCACTGGGGAGTAAGGGCGGACTGGCAGGACCAGGCACTCGGGTCCTGTCTTCTCCCCTTCTGTGCCAGCAGCCTGGAGGAAGTGTTTGGCCTCGGCAGGGAAGCAACACGAGTAAGAAAGGACGCGACCGTGTTCCTTGGCCTTGGTGTCTGTGAGAACTGGAGCGAGTGCTCTGTGAAAACCAGCCCTAACCTCCACCTCCTGGGGTATCAAAGGAGAGAGGAAATGTCCACCTCCTCGCCCCGGCCTCGGCAGGGACTTCCCCAACTCGGAGCCGTTTTTCCATTCTGACACTTAGGAAATTGAAGTGTGTACGTTTAACCTGCCATTGTTTTTCTACCCCTGAAAGCTGGTGTGTCTTATCACTAGCGGTGCCTTAGTATTAAGGAAATATGCAAAGTCCTCTGTGAAGCTTTATCAGATGGATTTGGAATAAATAAATGCTTAAAACAAGTGAAGTCCTAGCTCTTCCTGGCACAAAGACCTTCAGAAGTGAGATGAGAGAGAGACTCAAGGGGGCTGCATAGAGAGGCAAAGAGGCCAGTCCTTCTTCTGTCCATCTGTCTGTCCCTCTGCTGCCCTGGGAGGCAGATGACAGGGTCTGGTCCTGGGGGGATGGCAGATCAC